TGCTCCACATCTCTCTCTCTGCTAATCCACCCTAATCTGCTAATCCAGGAACTTCCTCCACCACCAGCCTGTCCTCTGGTCCTCCCGGTTCTGAGCAGAACTCTGGGTCCAGTTGAGGAATGGAGCTACTAGTCGTGGTGACCCGGTACGAAGCGGATTTCAAAGCGGGGAATGTTTCTACCCGTCCTGGAATCATCCTGAAATTATCGCTTCTTTAATCCCAATCTGCTGCGACTGTCCCGGTTCTGAAGGACCCGGTCCAAACTGAAGGACGATGGATGGAAGAAGAGCCGTCACTCACCTCTACGATCATCCTCAGGTCTCTGACGTACATCCTCTCAGTCTCGATGATCTCCATGACGACTCGGTCCAGATAGGTTAGCTGGGGATTGGGTGCCATGGTAGCGCCTACGAAGGGCTGGCGGCGGCTCGAGGCCCGGTTTGGCGTCCACGCCTTGTTGTTGTTGTTCTTGTTGTGAAAGAAGCTCCGCCCCTTCTTTTTAGGACTCGGGTTCTGGTTCAGGTCGGTGCCGGAGGACCCCTCAGAAACCTGAGGCGAGGTCAGGGAGTCGTCCCTGGAGGAGCCCGATCCCGACGACAGCGTGGAGACCAGGCTCACAGGGCGCCGTCCCGATGGCGGCGGGTCAGAGTCTGAGGGGGTGGCAGACAGAGCGCGCTCATCGCTGCTGATGGAGGCGGTGGAGAGGCGGGGCGACTCTGAGGAACATGGTAAAAAAGGAAATGAACAGCTGAGCCTGACGGTGCTGCCCCCTATCAGTCTAACCTGGTACTGCAACCAGCAGGGACCCTCGAGGGCGCCGTGTAAAGCCCACAGCTGGGGGGACGCACACACCTCTCCAAGTTGTGCATCAGGGTACTGGGAGTCTTTAAATGGCAAAAGTGTCATTTATAGAAATGATGACATCATTATTATGAAATACCCCCCCCCCCCCCCCTCCCAGGTTAGGGACGGCCCTTAATGTGTCAGACCCTCTGTGGGAAGTAAGGGTTGGTGTTTAGGGGCCTCACCCCTCCATAGAGGGCTGGGGGCCATTTTATATGACTGTCTGAACTGGACTCAAAATGAAAATTCCCACAATGCACCTCTCTTGGCAAAGCATCATAGGATTCGTTTTGGGGGCGAGAGAGAAGAAACATGGCGCGAGGTTGAGTCCCCGCCCTATATATATAAAGATGCCCCCCCCCCAGATGAACTATTTCTAGTTTATTTCTAGTTTATCACTTCAGATCAAATTTAACTGTTGGATGAAAATGAGACAGACGGACAGATGTATAAAAACTAGATGAGAGGAGTTCAGCAGCAGTGATTAGATCCTAACAGGAAACACGCCTGGTGACCAGCACAGACTGGAAAAGAACCAGTGGCCAGGAACCCCTGAGGAACCCTGAGGAACCCCGAGGGACCCCTGAGGAACCCCTGAGGAACCCTGAGGAACCCCGAGG